TTTAGGAACTGGTATTAAATCTATCAATATTATAACAACCATATAGCAGTGAAATAGTATAATCTTTTCTGTAGTTGATCATGGGGTTGTAGCTGGTATTTAGATCTTTTTTTAGTACCCTCTTTGTATTTTCTTGGCCTTTAGCTAGCACCTCAGCAGGTCTTGGTTCTTTCTCTGGTGGAGTGACCCATGTCTTTATTTTTGAAGGCTCTGGACCATTTGTCACTGTGCCTGTAGGTTGATTATTATTATTGTAGAGTAGTAATTAATTTTTTTGATAGTGTGGGTCAGTCTCCCCTGATAACACTGTGACTCCCTTTTTAGCTTGTTTTCTCAGAGGCATGAGGAGACCAAAGTGGCCAGGGGAAAATCTTAGCTTTTTAGGTTAATGGTATCATCATTGTGCTTTCTGGTAGAAGCCTTTCTCCCTCTCTGGAACTAGGATTTCTAGTCCAGCAGAACATAAGGTCGTGGGGACAGGAAGCAACACGGTTGCTAGTGGATCACTAGGGGTGATGGTGAGTGGTACCACTGGTAAATTGAGCTCACTCATCTGGATTGTTGTCCTCCTTACCAGTGTACCACTCACAGTGAGGGAAGAGGGCACTCGACCTACGGAGAACCTCCCAGGGTTGGTGAATGTGTGCGTTCACCTAAGCACTCTGTGCTGGCATTCCTTTCTTCCTAAGCCTTGGACTTCCTTCCTCTTCCTTAATGTAGGCTTCTCATTGTTTCTGGGCTACTTGTGAGTGCCAACCAAACCATTAGAGCAAGTACTGGAACTGAAACATTATATATGGTACTTGGGAAGTAGAGGCTACAGACCCCAGGGCTGCGGCCATTCCAGGTACTTTAGCAAGATCCTGCCTCAAATCTTTTAAAAGGGCTGCAAGTGTAGTTTAATGGAAGAGGACTTGCTTAGCATGCATGAAGCCCTGGGTTCCATCTCTACAACAAAAGGAAAAATTATGTGTGGAGGACCACCTGGGCAACCATCCTTGGAGGAGTAGCAGTGGTCTCCCATTTTGGTGGAACATGATCTGTTTCCATATTGATATGCACAGAGCTGGAGGGTTTTTTTTGTTTTGTTTTGTTTTGGTTTTTTTGCTGGCTCAGAATGCCTTCAGGACATGTTTGGTTGGCTGAAGTTGTAAAGATCAGACCACAGCAACCTGAGGCTGACTGTTTTGTTGAAGCAGCCACTTAAACAACTGAGCTAAGGCACAGGCCCCTATGAACGGAGCTGGCTAGGACTTTTCCTTATACCTTCAATTGGCTTTAAGCAATGCATGTTGGTCTAGCCAAGGTACTGGTCATAGTCTTTGAAGTAAAGACTGACAGGTCAGTGTCCCATGTGTGAGGCGGGATGGAGAACTGTGCTCTGCTGATGCTAGGATTAGTCTCAAGAGGCTGTGACTCCCCAGGGGACAGGGATCACACATGAGCGCTGAAGCCTGAGCCCAGAACATGGAACACCCCCTCAGCTGTGTCATGCAGCTGGCTCCTGCAGATCCTTCTCTGCATATCACAGAGGTGAGCTCAGGGCTCCTCCCCATGCCGGCTCCCAGCACTCACCTCCTTCCCACCACTCTCAGTCACTCATCCCCAAGCCTCACCTGGGTGGAAGCCTCTGTTCTGGATGGCCATCATCATGGCAGGACTTAGGACCCCTGAGCTCCCCACAATTACAAATATGCCTTAGTGTCCTTATTCTCACCATGGGTTGCACTAGAAGTGTTAGATTGGAATTTACTCACTAGAATTCCAATAAATTTTCCATGGGATTACAAATAATAAGGCCCGAGAAGGGCTCCTATATGTATGGATTCAGACTCTAGTAAGCAGACTGCATACATGTGGCCCACTCTGTTATATTCCTATCCTGTCTAGTCTAATACCTCAAATTTATCACCATATCCATCCCACAATTTCTATTACTATAAATTGGCAAAATCTTACATAGTACACTGTTACTAACTTATTGCCAAAAAAAGGTAACACTAGTTTTAGTTTGTATTTGACTGTAGCTCCTCTGTCAGACTCTTCTTGGGAGTGCTGGGCAGTGTTTTGTTGCTCTTTGGTTTCTGGTGATACTGGGGATCAAACCCAGGACCTTGTGCAGGCAAGACAAGTACCTGCTTCGGAGCCCCACCTGCAGCTTGGGATGTTGCTGTCTGACTAGTTGGGGCTATGGAGCAACACGGGATTGCCAAGGTAGGTCTTGAGGACAGGCATCACCTTGTGAGGGAATTTAATAGATGAGGTGGTATTCGGACAAAGTCAGGTATCTGCTGCTTCTGCCAAGTAGGCCTGAGCATGGTAGATTCTGCGATTGGTTTGATCTGCTCAGATAGTGCCATTCCAACCTCAACATCTCACTCCTCCCCAACTGGTGCCTTCAGTTTCACTTAGGGGAACTGACAAGGCTGTGAATTCAACTTAAAGTGTAGTTCTGCAGCTTGCACAATTAAATGTGGGGTCAAATTTGAAACCAGTTATGGCATCACTGTAAGAAGTAGGAGATTTTTACTACTAAAACTAGTGTTACTTTTTTTGGCAATAAATTAGTAACTGTGTAGTATGTAAGATTTTGCCAATTTATAGTAATAGAAATTGTGGGACATATATGATAAAATTTAAATTATCACCTTGATTGTGCATCAGGTAACTTGAGCACCTAGTCTTCTCTGACTGTCCCTGCAGCCACCACCCTGTGTCTGTCACAGATCAGACTGACACTGAAAAATCTGAAGCAGGAAAGAGCCGCCTTCCATCTCCCACCCATGCCTCCTGGTGGCAGAGGCTGATGGGACGTCAGCTGGCAAGGGAGTCACACTAAGGGCACAGGAAGCTGGGGTGGAGGCAAGCAAGCAGATGGGCAACAGAACAGAGGAGAAAACACTTCATGTTAAACCCAGTCTGAAAGCCCCGACTGGTTAGATTAAATACTAAGTCCCGATGTAGACAAGGCGTGGTGTGAGGTTCTGGGATGCACCAAGGAACTAAAATAGCCCCTGCAGGACTGGGGAGATAACTCAGCAGTCTAAGCACCTGCCTGGCAAGTGCAAGGAGCCCGGCTTGATCCCTGGTACCACATGCCATGCCACCTGAACTGGGCATGGTGGCGCACACCAGTAATCCATGTGCTGGTGGGCGGTGCTGAGACAGGAAGATCACTATGCATCCGAGCTGTGTAGCAAGACCCTGTACCACATACGTAAATAAAAGATTAAAAACAGCCCCTTTTGACCTAGAACTGAGTCCCAACATGGAGCAGACCAAACCCATAATATACCCCTTGTCTAAAAGTTTGGTTATATCTGCCTGGCCGAAGAACATCAGGTAGAATATACAAAAAAAAAAAAAATCTTAAATTCTGATGGATTCTAATCTACAGGCAAAATATTGAGCACTCCCTATTTCAGTGGTCAGTAAACAGAGAAAGGTACTTAAGCATGTGAAGGCAAAACCACAATGAGACGCTAGTGTATAATCACCAGGGTGACTAAAAATAGACTGGTCATATTAAGTGTTGGTGAGACTGTGGAGCAACTGGAACTTTCTCACAGCCGAGTAAACTAAAACAGTTTGGAAAAGTGTGGGGCAGCCACAGAAGCTAAGCATTTACCTACCCTCACTTCTGGCAGTGCTATCTTTAGTTACTTAATGAAGAGATACAGTGCATGTGAACACAAAAGGACATGTACAAGAATATTTGTAGAAGCTATAGCCACAGCAGCCCCACCCTGGCATCAGACAGATAAATAAGCAGAATGGATAAACTATGGCACCGTCACAACTCAGATACTATTCAGCTATATTAACAATATTCAGCTATCTTATTGCTGAGCAACCATGTGGAGAAGCATGTTGAAAGGAGCCTACACAGAGATTTTGTGTGAGTGCATACATCTGAAGATCAAGAGTAGACAAATGTCACTGGGGGCAGAGGTAGAATATTCTGGAGATGGGACTGCGCACAGGCGTACTAGAGGCCTGGTTGTGCTGCCAATGCCCTGTTGAGTGTGGTGGTGTTCACACCAGACGCATAGGTATAGGCAGTTTAAAAGGTACTCCACTGTGTATATTATGCCTCCAAACATTAATAAAAAAACCCCAGGATATATTCCAAAAATATGAGTGCCAACATCAATTAAGTGATATGGGTGGGTAGGCTGGTGGCAGAGATTTACAAAGGGAAACAAGGTAGCCCCATAGTGAGCTATCTGGGCGGCACAGCAAGAGGTTCATCTGATGCACTGAAGGAACCCGCTCAGGGCCCAGCAAGTGGAGATACGGGGGTGGGCAGCGCCTGGAGAAGGCTTTAGTTGGACTTCTACTGTAAAGGCAGTGGGAAAATGGGGAGGGCCCGAAGTAGGGGTGCTGTCAGGGCTTGCGAAGGGTTTGGATGTAAAGGTAAAGCACCTTTGAATCGCATCTTCTGGAGGTGAGGGGCCAGAACTGCTGAGGCGGGGTGGGGCGTGAGGCGCCAGATGGGAGCCACGACATGCTGTCCATTAGCTGCTCCAGGAACAGGCGGTGAGGCTGAGGGTCACAGAGCCGGCGCTCCACAACAGGCTGGGTTGGAGTGGCAACAGGAGTGTGCAGTGGGCAGAGCGAGAGAGGCCTCTGCAGCTCCGTGGGTGCTGGACGGACTGCAGCAGGCAGCAGAGAGGGCCTGGGAGCTGCGTCCTGCTCGAGCTTGCTTCCTCCTGGGTGCACACAGGAGCCCAGCATCTACATTTTCCAAGTTCTGCAGTGATTTCTACACCAAGAAGTTTGAAAACCTCTCACCTCCAGTGATGTGCGAGAGAGAGAGAGAGAG